GAAGTGGCAGAAGAGAAATTCTATCCCATTCCTCCCGAACAGCTTTCCAGAGTCCTGTTAGGGTTTGGGGACAATGTTTGGATAATGCAGTTTTTAAAAGTCCGAAAGCCCAAAAATCCATAGGTGACACATCGGGAGATTTAGCAGGGATATCAGTGAAGGGTATGGCCTTAATACCAGTATTTTGTTCTATTTTTTTTAGGAAATTTACAGTGGAGTTTGATGTATGATTGCTACCTTTGTCCTGATGGAGTCTCACAGATTGATGGCACTGTGGGTAAAGCTATGGTATTTCATTCAGAAAAATTGGCAATAAAATATGTTCCTGATAGTATTTAGAGTTAATCTTGAGATTTTTTTTTTTTTTTTTTTTTTTTTTTTGTACTCTCTTTATTTTGAACTTGCCATTATAAGAAAAACCAGCAACAATCGTGAATCCCTTGGAAAAACTTTCTTTCGATTCTTTGAACCATGTACTTGAATTTTTTTTCTCCCCTTTTATGATAATAAATGGCTTTTTTTTTTTTTTTTTTTTGTTACAATCATTTAAATACACCCATGCTTCATCTATTGTGACAACCTGTTTTCCATTTTTCTTTGGATAAGTGTTTCTCATATAGAATTCTGCAGCGTGTCCTGCGTTGAGCGATATGCTTTGGAAGAAGACGATGCACATTGCGTTTTTTCGCTTTCTTAAGATTTAAATCAACGTTTATCATTTTTTTGTTTACAGTGGACACCGAGCACATTTTAATGATTTTGCAACTGTCCTTTGACTGGGGGGATTTTCTTTTAACATTAAACAAACGTACCTTTGCAATAGTCGAAGATGTCCGTTTTTTCCCTTGGATACTTGTTTGTCCCACTTGAGGCTCCAATTTGACGTTTGTTTCCTTTCTTGTTGATGATATTACCTATCGACACTTTAGATATCACAAAACCATGACTCTCACATCGTTTTTAGATAACGGAGCATGCATACTTCTCTTCGGAAAAAGCGTAAATGTAGCCTTCGAACCACTGCTTTATTAAATTCGCCATTTTGAATAAAAAAAAAACTTTCAAGCCACAGACGATAATTTTGACTTTTAAAAACATAGTACGTTTGCAATTACTTCTTTTGCAGCAAACGATTTTTTATTACCGCTTACCAAAATCGTCTAAAAAATGTGCGAACAGCCTTTGTACAAGTTTCCAAACTTGGAAAAAAAAGTAGTTGCATATGTTCGTGATATTCGTGCTTAAGGGTATGCAGTAAATACAAGGAATGTTCCAAATAACAGCGTTTACTGTGGCACGAGAAGACATTTCTACATTGTAATTCAAGGTGAGTGAAGGCTGGTTGTGGCAAATGATGAAATGAAATGGATTTTCATACAGTCCATCAGAACAGATTTTTTTTTAAAATAATGTGTGCAAGATATTAAAAGAACCAATGTTCATTTAATTTGTGTAAATGTAAATATTAAAACTGCAAGCGTTGGTTAATTTGTGCCTCTATATCGTGCTCCTGTGCGAACTAATACATGCTGAGTGTTGATAACGTAAATGGGGTAATTTATATTATATATGTAGATGGGAGAAAGCGAGTTTGCAAATTTTACATAGCTATCATACAACTTTCAATTTGATACTTTTATTACTTGTGCCATTTTCTTCTATTTAGAACTTAACTTAGCTGTTTGAAATTAAATTTACAGCCAAAATTACTCATGAGAAAGAGTGGGACATTTGAACGGCCCGTGTAATGTTCGCACCTGCATTTTAGTAATGTAATTTTAATAAAAAAAAGTGTGGACATTATGCGAGCGGATGCAGTATATATATCTCTCTCTTTGAAAGAGTAATCTTAAGTTTCCTAATGTTATATTTATAAATAAATAATTAGCACAGAAATTTACCCTACAAAATAATTCTAAATTCTATTACATGAACAAGGAGTTCTAGTTACCATTTTAATTTTCCTGAAATACTCTCTGTGTTTATATTTAAATGCTACTGAGCATATATTCAGCAAGAACTTGAAACAAAATATTTCTTATAAATTAAACAACTGAAATTGATAACGCAAGATCAGGATAGAAAAATTATGCTAAAAATAATAAAAATATCTAGCTGAATCTATGCAGAAGAAAAAATGGTACAACTCTAATATACGCCCTAATTTCACCAAATGTGGCGATATGTGTTCTGCGCTGGTTTTTAGCGTGATTGCGTGTTCTATGGCAACCCTGTTGACGTTGAAAAATCTTTTGCTGGAGCTCGTTGGTTCGCCTCCGTGTCTGAGAAGATGGGAGGGAAAGATAAAATGGTAGTTGTTGAATTGACGTTTGGCAAAAGGAAATAAGATTGTGGCTATCCTGTTGAGGGGTAGTGGGTATTTGGAAGTGTGAAAAGAGGGTCTGGGAGATTATTTTTAATGGCAGTGCATGATAGAAGTAGGGATTTGTAATTTTATTTATTTGTGAACCATAGTATAAATTTTCTGGATAGTGTGTCTGGCTGTCATGTAAATACGATAGTGATTACATGGCGGCATGTTAAAAGCTGTATGAAATTCATGGTAAGTGCATTTTATTTTATCCTTGTTCTTATTTTGTAGAATGTTATGTTCATTGGTTCTTTAGTATGAATTACTGTCGTTATTGTTGTTTTTTTAAATTGTTTGAAATTTATTTTAGTTTATTTTGTTGTTTAGTGTAGAGACTGTAGAATTCGTAGATGTTTTTTAAAGTTGAAACACAACACTGTGTACATAGTATTATTTGAAATTTATTGTTGTTGTGTTATTTTATTAAAGCGAGGAGTGCGTAGATCATAGATTCCTTCCTTGTCTAAATTGTGCAATTCATAGAATTTTTTTAAAGTTTAAACAGGATGCTGTGTACATGGTATTCTTTGAAATTTATTGTTGTTATGTTAATTTATTAAAGCGAGGTGTGCGTAGTTTGTAGATTCGTCGTCGCCTACATTGTGCAATTCGTAGATGTTTTTTTTAAGTTAAAACATGTCGCTGTGTACATGGATTATTGTCAAATATTTTTGGTTAGAAACTTTATGTTTTTGCTATCTAAATTTTTGTTTTTGTTTCAGATTTTTAGCTAAATTGTGTGTTCAAAACATAGTTTTTGCAGACATTTTAGGCTAAAAGTTCAAAATGTAGACAAAAAATTTAGACAGTAATATGGCAGCGTGAAGTTTCTCGCCAAAAATATTTGGCGAGAAATTTGGCGACTTGAGGGCGCATATCAGAGTAGTTCTGAAAAAATAAATAATACCAATAATTAACCTCATAACTGAAAGATAAAAATACATTAAAACAAAAATATTTGCAAAATTTTAAGAAATTTGACTTTTTTTTTATTTGACAGAATGATAAATATCCCAACCCCTTTTGCGGCATTCTCCAGCTAAAAGAATATTAATTTTTTAGTTCTATATTCTGTTTTTTGGAAAAATATTTACTGTAAGGAGAATAAATATTTTTGATTTTTTAAAAAAGATTAAGAGAGTTTCACATTTCTAATTTAATGCATTTCAATTTTTTATATTATTTTCAGAATCAAATATGTTTAATCACTTTTGCCAGATAGTATATATAAAAAGTATTTGATAATTTGTTGAGCTGATTTGCTCATTAAATTCAATGGTAGAAACACAGGCATGCTTTAAATGGTAAGCTTTTGTGTTACCTAAATACTAAATGATATATTTAGATAAATCTATAGTTAGTCTATATTTTCGAGGTGCCAGTTGGATATCGAAAAGTTGTTGTTTCTTTTATGGTAATCTGAGTATTTTATAGTGTATATTTTGGAAAACTCTCTCATAACGCAATTGGTTGATCCTATCATTTGTATGGTTGGTTCTAAAGTGCGATTTTGCTGATTTTGATTGTTGAGAGAATATTTCTCAGGACTTATTTATGGGTTAGATGTTGTTTAAGTACACTGCTTATTTTCTGCTTTACATCGTAAAATGGTCCAGTGATAAGATTAACCTGAAGTTTCTGTACAATATGGAACGAATGGGAAAGAAAGCATTGAGGAAGCGGAAGGTAAACTGATGATCTATAATCCGGAAAAATCGATAATCCGGAATAGCCGAAGTCCCGACGAGTCCAGATTAACGACTTTTGACTGTATTTGCTTTTGGTAGTGCTTAAATGTATAACATGTTTTCCTTTTTTATGTTATTTTATTGTTTGGTTAAAAATGTATTTTATTGAGATTATGTATTTTTGTTTGCCTATATTGTAGAATTTGGTGTTCCTTTGACTTTGTAAGTGAAAATATATCGATGTGTACATGGAGAAAGTGAAGGGAGTGCGCAATGCAAGTTTGTGCAATTCTGGGATTTTTTTTACAGTGAAAATAGGTAAACGTGTACATGGATAAAGTTAAATGAGTGTGCAATGCCATTTTTGTGCAATTCGAGGATTTTTTTTAAGTGAAAATAGGTCGATGTGTACATGGATAAAGTCAATGGAGTGCACAATGCCATTTTTGTGCAATTCGGGGATTTTTTTTTTTAAGTGAAAATAAGTCGATGTGTACATGGATACCGAGTTTGTGCAATTGTTTGTCTTGTTATTTTGGCTTTGTGTAGCAGAGATTTTTGGGGCAAAAATCGCTGCTTCGCAAGCCAAAATAACGAGTCAAAGAATTGCACAAAATCGGTATCTATGTACCGCCAAAAATCGCCAAGGGGTACCCTAAACTATACTTTTACCATGTACAAACGTACAAATAAAAAAGTAAAATCCATAACAAAATGGAAAAATTATAAATAAGGTGCAAATGTTTGAATGTTGAAATAATATCACTACAACATGGTAATTAAAAAAAAAGTAAACAAATCTCTCCTCACTTTGAACAAAAACTCAAACAACATGAAAAAGAAAACAAAATCAACGGAATGCATTTCATCAGGAAGGCAAAGTATAACTATGTACAATTCCATTAACAGAACAAAAGCTTATGAATAAAATTTTCACTCACTCAATAGTGCAATCTTCATAACAGCCCTGTAAAAGTCGCCTAATCAACTGTTCTAATGATATACTCATGTCTGGATCTTGAATATTCAATATAGCTGCTTCCAGTTCCTGAAAAGTAATATGGTATCATCATTTGTAGCAAAGATTAAAATAAAAATAATTCTTACAGATCAAGAGAAGGCAATAAATTCAGACTGAACTTACCGCTAATTCGAAGTAAAGAAGCTTAAATACGTTCCGGAATATGTAACAAAAGTGTCCCACTGCCGGAACTTCCCACCAGCTCTGAATTTCTAGAAGATAAAAGAAATTTTGAACAACATAGCATGCAATTATTACAATATGCAAAATCGATGTGCATCCATGGTGAACTACATTAATTTACGCAGCATTCCATATATTAAACGTCAATAACAAATTAACGTGCAGAGAATTTTTTTAGCTGTATAATAATTAGATCAAGTGTTGTCATTTCTTCATAAAATACAGATACATTTGTTCATTAAAAAAAATCACCGCAATGTTTAATACAAATTCATAATAATTAGTTTTCACTATTACCACTAAAAACAATGTTCTTTATCGAATAAATATGACATATTCATGTAACATAGCAATATAATTTAATTTGTACAAAATAACACAACACATACCATCCATGTATCAACAACAGTATTCACAATACTAAAAAGGGAAGAGCGAGTAAGTAAAATATTCACATAACGCAGTTATTTCTAATGGTAACACTTTTCTACCACATGTCACAATTCTACATTTGATGATCACGGCCGTAAAACACTTTTTTCTCTTCTTTTTTTTATTCTTGGGGGAACTGACACTTAGCCAATCACGAATGCGCTTTAATTCCCTCTTATGTAGGAAACTGACTTTAGAGAAGCAAAGGCAGCGCGGCAAATTATGGCGGGAAAATATTCCAAATTTTTACAACTTTTAAAATGAACTTTTTTATTTATTAATTTGGGTAAAATTTCCGATAAACTGAAATAATAATCGGAATCTGTTTTTTGCCTTATAAACTTGATATTTTCTCTAAAATGTGTGCAAATGTTTCCTATTTGCATAAAATTCAACCTGAATTCTGAAGAAAAGAAAGGTTTCAGTAATAATGTAAATGCATAATATAACAAAATAGTTCTTACAGTTCAGTTTATTTTGTTATTTTTATTAATTTCTAAGAAGAATACATCTGGTAAAATGACAAGAAGATATGCAGTTTGGATTGTTTGGGGTCGTAATGTAAAACGAAACAGGGAATGTACAGTCGGTCACAAAAGTATTCGAACACCGGTACCCATTCAGAAAATTTACTTTTCCGTTGAGAAACAAAATTGTCTCCAGAGTCTATCTTGGTTCGATAGACAAAAAAAAAACAAAAGAATGGCTCATGTCCAAAATTGGCTAGGTGCATGAAACAAAATACAACATGACCTATCTGGGTGAGATGGGAAACAAAATGGCTTCTCACGTAATCCATTATTGCGCTCATAGAAAACGCAAAGTGTGGCTGCGGCTCGTCTCGGTTCGCGAAGAGTGAAAACCCAAAACGGTCTGCAGTGTCTGTCTTTGTTGGATGAGAAACAAAAGGATGGCTCATGTCCAGTTTATTTAGGTGTGGGAAAACATATAACGTGACCTATCTGGATGAGATGTCTCCAGCGATCCAGTATAGACTTTTTCCCCATCTGCAATAGATGACATCTATAAACAATTCCATTGAAATCTCCTCGAAATATAAGAAACAGCTAGCTCGTGAAATTGTAAAGTATTCCCAAAAAATTCCACTTCTTGAAGAAGGAAAAACACCCTAGCTGCAGATGAGGTAGAGAGAGAAAAAGCATGTTGCACCATGGAGAGCCCGCACGGTTCTGAACAGAAAACGTGGAATATGCTTTATAGAAAAGAGTTGAAAGTGAAAGTAAAAGCCGTTGGCTGGAAAAATTTCAATTGGTTGTCGACTGGGAAAAAATTTTCAGAGCTCAGAAAAAAAATTCTGAGATGTAAAAAAAAAAAAAAAAAAACTTTTTGTTAATTTTTATCATGTCTTCTAGACATGATAAAAATTAACCCTACCCCCCTTTTGTGTGGGAATGTTGTCTCACTGTTTCTAAAAACAGACCATGACTCATTCTAGGAATTATATGTTTTAAAAAGGATGAGTTTAAAATTTATAAGATAAGTTTTTAAAAAGGATATGTTTTAAAAAGTATTTGGGTTTCTCCATTCCAAAGTAAACAAAGTGAAGACATCAAATTAATAGAAAAAAAGGAAGAGGTTTTTTTTTTTTTTTTTTTTTTTTTTTTTTTTTTTAACAGCTCTGGAAATTTTTTTCCCAATTCAACAGCCAAGAAATATTTCCAGCCAATACAATTTCATTTTTACTTTCACTTTCAAGTTCATTTCTTATATCTATAAAGAACATTTCATGTTTCTGTTCAGATCAGTGTGGGTTGTTCAAGATGCAAGCATCTCTACTTCATCCCACAACCAGGAAAAAAAGATGTTCTTTCATGAGGAATTCTTTTGGCTTTCGAAAACAATGATGACATGATGATTGTAATACATTTCGGTTCTCATGTCCCATGCTTGAACTCAGAATTATTTCCAGAACTCTGAAAATTTTTCCTAGTCAGCTCGATAACCCAGCTTTCGTATATTTATTTTTTAAGCCACTCGAGTTTCGACTTCCCATCCGTGTGTGCTGTGCATTCAACCTGGAGACACATTCCCTGAGCTCTAAGAAAATGTTTCCCAGCCCACTCAATCGCTGAAATGGATTAAAAATAAATTCTTTCATACATTTTTAAAGCTCAAGAGTGTTAGCTGTCATGGAAAGAGCCTTTTTTTCCCCTGAGCTCTGAGAAAATGTTTCCCAGCAGACTCAATCGCTGAAATGGATTAAAAATAAATTCTTTCATACATTTTTAAACCTCAAGCGTGTTAGCTGTCATGGAAAGAGCCTTTTTTTTCCCCTGAGCTCTAAGAAAATGTTTCCCAGCAGACTCAATCGCTGAAATGGATTAAAAATAAATTCTTTCATACATTTTTAAAGCTCAAGAGTGTTAGCTGTCATGGAAAGAGCCTTTTTTTCCCCTGAGCTATGAGAAAATGTTTCCCAGCAGACTCAATCGCTGAAATGGATTAAAAATAAATTCATTCATACATTTTTAAACCTCAAGCGTGTTAGCTGTCATGAAAAGAGCCTTTTTTCCCCCTGAGCTCTAAGAAAATGTTTCCCAGTCCACTCAATCGCTGAAATGGATTAAAAATAAATTCTTTCATATATTTTTAAAGCTTAAGCGTGTTAGTTCTCATGGAAAGAGCCTTTTTTTTCCCTGAGCTCTAAGAAAATGTTTCCCAGTCCACTCAATCGCTGAAATGGATTAAAAATAAATTCTTTCATATATTTTTAAAGCTTAAGCGTGTTAGTTCTCATGGAAAGTACCTTTTTTTCCCCTGAGCTCTAAGAAAATGCTTCCCAGTCCACTCAATCGCTGAAATGGATTAAAAATAAATTCTTTCATATATTTTTAAAGCTTAAGCGTGTTAACTGTCATAGAAAGGGCCTTTTTTCCCCTGAGCTCTAAGAAAATGTTTCCCAGTCCACTCAATCGCTGAAATGGATTAAAAATAAATTCTTTCATACATTTTTAAAGCTCAAGCGTGTTAACTGTCATGGAAAGGGCCTTTTTTTTCCCAGCCCACTCAATCGCTGAAATGGATTAAAAATAACTTCTTTCATACATTTTTAAAGCTCAAGCGTGTTAGCTGTCATAGAGCTGCAGATGAGGTAGAGAGAGAAACAAGCATGTTGCACCATGGAGAGCCCCACACGGTTCTGAACAGAAAACGTGGAATACTTTTATAGAAAAGAGTTGAAAGTGAAAGTAAAAGCCGATTGGAAATTTTTCACTTGGTTGCCGACTGGGAAAAAATTTTCAGAGCTCAGAAAAAAAATCTGAAAAAAAAAAAAAAAAAAAAAAAAAAACTTTTTGTTAATTTTTTATCGTGTCTTCTAGACATGATAAAAATTAACCCTACCCCCCTTGTGTGTGAGAATGTTTTCTCCCTGTTTCTAAAAATAGACCATGACTCATTCTAGGACATTCCAAAGTAAACAAAGTGAAGACATCAAATTAATAGAAAAAAAGAAAGAGTTTTTTTTTCCAGCTTTGGAAATATTTTTCCCATTCAACAGCCAATACAATTTCATTTTTACTTTCACTTTCAATTCATTTCTTATATCTATAAAAACATTTCATGTTTCTGTTCAAATCAGTGTGGGTTGTTCAAGATGCAACATCTCTACTCCATCCCACAACCACGAAAAAAAGATGTTCTTTCATGAGGAATTTTTTGGCTTTCGAAAACAATGATGACATGATGATTGTAATACATTTGTGTTCTCATGTCCCATGATTGAACTCAGAATTATTTCCAGAACTCTGAGAATTTTTCCTAGTCAGCTCGATGAACCAAATTTCGTATATTTATTTTTTTAAGCCACTCGAGTTTCGACTTCCCATCCGTGTGTGCTGTGCATTCAACCTAGACACACATTCCCTGAGCTCTAAGAAAATGTTTCCCAGCCCACTCAATCGCTGAAATGGATTAAAAACAAATTGTTTCATACATTTTTAAAGCTCAAGCGTGTTAGCTGTCATGGAAAGAACCTTTTTTTTCCCTGAGCTCTGAGAAAATGTTTCCCAGCCCAACTCAATCGCTGAAATGGATTAAAAATAAATTCGTTCCTATATTTTTAAAGGTGAAGCATGTTAGCTCTCATGAAAAGGGCCTTTTTTTCCCCCAGTAGCTGAAATCAATAGCTGAAATGAATTAAATAGCTGAAATGAATTCAATAGCTGAAATGAATTAAAAAGAAATTCTTTCATACATTTTTAAATCTCAAGAGTGTTAGCTGTCATGGAAACTGAAATTTATGTCATGGTTTGTGTCTCACACGTCGTCAACGGTATGGTTTGAGGTGAAAATTGAAAACCCGGTATGAAAAATCTCTTTAAGTTCACTTTAGAAGAAGCTGTGGGATAGAGAGATTTCGTCATGGAAAAATGTCTTTCAATGTCTTTCAATGTCAGTCATGGGAAAATGTCTTTCAATGTCCGTCATGGAAAAATGTCTTTCAATATTATGACATCTCCTTTCAAATAGGATTGAAGGATATTTCTTAAACTATGTTGAAATCTTGATCCATCCAAATTACAGATGGGAAATTCTGATCCACGGATGGATCATCCAATTTCGCTAGAACCTGATAAACGGTTGCTGATTAAATCCAAACGAAAACCCTAGCTTTTCAAAACAGGAAACATTTTCCCTAAACGATTAAAGATTTCTATTCTGTGAGACATTAAAAAGTGGAAAGAAACTTGTGTTCACAGAAGCTCTTTCTATAAGAGTGGTCCTAGGTCCAGATGAGATAGAGAAAGAGAAAAAGCATGCTGCACCTTGGATAGCCCGCACGGTTCTGAATAGAAAACGTGGAATACTTTTATAGAAAAGCGATTGAAAGTGAAAGTAAAAGCCAAATCGTCTTGGCTGAGAATTTTCACTTGGTTGCCGACTGGGAAAAATTTTCAGAGCTCAGAAAAAAATTTTGAGATGTAAAAAAAAAAAAAAAAAAAATCTTTTTGTTAATTTTTATCATGTTTTCTAGACATGATAAAAATTAACCCTACCCCCCCTTTTGTGTGGGAATGTTGTCTCACTGTTTCTAAAAATAGACCATGACTCATTCTAGGAATTATATGTTTTAGAAAGGATGAGTCATGGTCTTTGGGTTTCTCCATTCCAAAGTAAACAAAGTGAAGACATCA